AGCTAGCATTAACATTCAGCATCTTTGGAGGATACAAAGCAGCTAGCATTAACATTTAGCATCTCTAGAGAATACAAAGCAGCTAGCATTAACATTCAGCATCTTTGGAGGATACAAAGCAGCTAGCATTAACATTTAGCATCTTTGGAGGATATGAAGCAGCTAACATTAGCAGCTAGCATCTCCAGAGAATACAAAGCAGCTAGCATTAACATTTGGCATCTTTGGAGGATATGAAGCAGCTAACATTAGCAGCTAGCATCTCTAGAGAATACAAAGCAGCTAACATTAACATTGAGCATCTTTGGAGGATACAAAGCAGTTAACGTTAACATTTAGCATCTTTGGAGAACATGAGACAGCTAGCATTTTTAAGGAATATGGGTAGCATCAGCTAGCATCTTTGGAAAATATAAAGTAGCTAGCAATAATAGCTAGCATTAGAAAATGTGAGGCAACTAGTATTAACAGCTAACTTCTGTAGAGAATACAAAGCAGCTAACATTAACATTTAGCATCTTTGGAGAATATAAGCAGCTAACATTAGCAGCTAGCATCTCTAGAGAATGTGATGTAGCTGGGATATAGAGTTAGTATTAGCAGCTAGCATACAGAGAATATAAGGTAGCATCAGCTGGCATCATTGGAGAACGTGAAGCCGATAGCATTAGCAGCTAACATCTTTTAAAAATATGAAGCAGCTGGTGTATTTTGAAATGCGCTGCACTTATAGATGCTCTTACATAGTGTAAACATTTCAAAATGCTAAAAACGATAAAATGGTGAAAGTATCGACCACAGCAGGGCGTAATTTATCGGTTATTGTTATCGGCTCAGAAATTCCTCATCCCTGATTTTAAAGAACACTGTGTTTTCATACGACAATCACAGACTTTATGTAAAGTCTTAATGAAGGACTGTACTGAACGTTGCAGGTGGCGCTTTAAGCCTTCAGCAATACTGTGTTCTGCGCTTTACTCCTCTCGCGTTTCAGTTTCAAGTCGTTGGCTGAGATGGCGAACGTGTACACGAAGGCATTAGTTACATAGATTAATATCTGATTATAACCCTACAGTTCAGACTATTTAGCAGTTTTAATCATCACTTAAAAACATCTGTACTAATTGAGGATGAGCACGGTGGACGTTGGAGAATCACTGTGATAGACTGTTGAATCACAGCCGTGATTTTTTTTGTTTGTTTGTTTGTTTTTCAGTAAATGTTAAACAGTTCAAACGTGTCTTACTCCACACTGCAGTACTCAAATCTGTATTTTTGTATTTATGGAACTGTGTGTAGATTTACAGATGCCTTTACAGGAGTATGATTTGTGATGGTAACCTTTTTGCTCAAATAAATTAATTTGGATAGAGTGTGATTCTGTTCATGAATGATTAAATCTGTTTTTAATAGTTTAATATTGAATGTTGTGCAGTGATGGGCTTCGTTTACTCACACTTTCTTGGGCTTAATTTCATTTTACGTGTAAAAGCAGCACCACTTAAGGTGGAACGGAAAATCTGAATAAGGAGAGAGTCAAATGAGAATCTGTCTCAGCCGCTTCAGCTGCTCCATTTAAGGTGGAACGGAAAAGCTGAATAAAATGCTGGTAAATAAGAATCTGTCTCAGGTGCTTCAGCTGCTCCATTTAAGGTGGAACGGAAAGTTTGAGCAAGAAGCTGGCGAATAAGAATCTATCTCAAGTGCTAGAATGTAACAGCTGAAGCTTTTAAGGTGGAACGGAAAAGCTGAATAAGACGCTGGTAAATAAGAATCTGTCTCAGCTGCTTCAGCTGCTCCATTTAAAGTGGAACGGGAAGTTTGAACAAGAAGCTGGCGAATAAGAATCTGTCTCAGCCGCTTCAGCTGCACCATTTAAGGTGGAACGGTAAATTCAAATATGCAGCTGGCAAATAAGAATCTATCTCAAGTGCTAGAATGTAACAGCTAAAGCTTTTAAGGTGGAATGGAAAATCGGAATAAGAAGCTGGCGCATTAGAATCCGTTTAATCTGCTTCAGCTGCTCCATTTAAGATGGAACAGAAAAGCTGAATAAGACGCTGGAAAATGAGAATCTGTCTCAGCTGCTTCAGCTGCACCATTTAAGGTGGAATGGGAAATTCATATATGCAGCTGGAGAATCAGAATCCGTCTCAGGTACCAGAATGTGACAGCTGCTCCATTTAAGGTGGAATGGAAAAGCTGAATAAGGAGCTGGTGAATAAAAATCTGTCATCAGCCGCTTCAGCTGCACCATTTAAGGTGGAATGGGAAATTCGAAGCATCTGTCTCCGGTGCCAGAATGTAACCGCTGAAGCATTTAAGGTGGCACGGGAAATCTAAATAAGAAGCTGGTAAACAAAAATCTGTCTCAGCCGCTTCAGCTGCACCATTTAAGGTGGAACAGAAGATTCAAATATGCAGCTGGAGAATTAGAATCCATCTCAGGTGCCAGAATGTAAAAGCTGCACCATTTAAGGTGGACAGTTTGAAGGAGCCAAATTCAGCATCATGGTTACCACTCTAATGGTTGTTTGATGGATTAAGAAGTTCCACTGCGGTTCTGCAGGGGAACTTAGCACTCCAGGAGTTTTTGGACATCAGACTTTTTACTCAAGGTTGTTTTTTTCAGGCTATTTTTGCTTCTACTGCAGTCGTTTGACTGAATTTAAGATACTTTTGCTGCAGTGGGGGTTTCAGCTGTGGATTCTCACAGTAAAGCTGTATGAAAGCTGGTCTTTCAGCATCACTAACATATTGCATAGGTAAAACAAACCGTGATAATTTGCATGATTCTGATCTCAGTTTCTTTTTACTGCTACAGTGACACATTTCCCGATAGAGACAATGGCAAAAATATCCAAACTGCTGAAACCCGGCAGCAGAAATATTATGTTATACTCAGATGATTGTCCGGTGGACTCCTAAATTTGAGTCAGTTTAAAATAACAAATAATAAATAGTGATAAAACAGTAACACTTCACTGAAGGGCAGCGTTCATAAAGCTACACAACCCCTACAACAGCCTTTCAAAACACATACACTTACAGTAAATGTGTAAATTATGTTTATTTTTCCTAATGTTTCATGACCTTCACACTATCATTTTTATTACTAAAACATTTTTATTTAAACGACAATTAAATATTCAGTTCTTAGATATTTACAGGATTCTGTTTTGATCTGTATAAACCGAAAGCATTAATAGAGACGGTAATAATCACATTTACAATCATTTATAGGGTACTTTCTATTGGGAGTGTCTGTCTCGAAGCCTAACCCCTAAATTTACACTTGGGAAAATGATACTTAAAAAAAAATCTTTTTGATTTCCTTTTAAGTGATTTATAAAGATTTAGATTTAACTTTTCAATTAAAACCGTTCAAAAATGCTGCCCCACATTTTTTAATGTCACTACCAAAACACAGTTTTAGTCTGTGGGCAGGGCCTTATTTTAGCCACACCCCTGCATTTTAGAGATGCTGCATCCCTGTCCCTCATGGCCACATGGTGAGCAGGTAGATCCCATTGTTTTGAAGTAAAAGTGTCCCAAAGTCAGAAAATCAGTGTGGAACATTAAGAATTGTCATATTTTAAAGAAGAAAAAATAAAATAGAGCTTCAACTGATCTACTGTATGAAATAAATGCATTTTTATATGCATGATGATTAACACTCAAATATTTATGGTCATGGATTTGCGAGAATGGCCCAGTTATTGATTATCCGTTGTCAGTTATTGGTACTGATGGTCAGGTTAGCGTTATCAGTCATATCAGTGCATCCTAAATTGTAAAGAATGTCATATTTTGGAACTCCGGAATATTGACTGGCACCAAGATATGATTTCAGTTGAGATTTTCTGTGTTAAAATGTTCTACAGAGCTCTAATTCTCTCCTACACATGAAAAAGTTTTGAATTAATGAGGGTTCTCCAATAGATTGTTTTCAGCTTCTGCTGTGTCTTAAACTCCATTCATGGTGGAGGGATACATGCAGGGTGCTGTGAGGCAAAATAGTCCCAAAAGAAAACGTATTATTTCAGGTTTTCCACTATTTTCCATCATCAACATTCCATATGAACTCAGAAGACTCGTGTAGGTTCACTGGTGGTTTTGCATAATAAATAAAATGTTCATATTTATATTGTAGTCATGGCGACCCCTGGTTCCTATCAGCACCACTGTAAAGGAATCTGAACCAGTTTACACCAAACCACTCTGAATTACTCTGTTTACATCTCCCACACTGAACTATGGAGGAATTTTGAGAAATCAGTGGAATTCCCCTTATATGTCCATCATTGCACATGCAGAGTCCATTTAAATAGTGATGCACAAAAACGAGCTTTATTGCAGTAAAATGTACAATTACAGAGTGTGAAGTGTAATTGCAGTAAATGGTCAAAGACGACCATTAAAGCTTTTTAGTGCTTCATAGAAACACCAGAATGTGTGGATACGTGCTGCACTCGTGTGGAAGTGAAGACAATCATTTAATATAGAACCTACTGGACAGTCCACAACCAAAACCTCCGCTTTCAGTACGATTCACATGCAAGTACAGGGAGTTTCCTGCGATAAATTGCAGCATTTAAGGCAAAAAGTGAATATGGCAGTAAATAAACAAACACTGCAAAGAACATAGTGACGAGTGAAATCACCTTATATCTAGTCAATAAATTAGTAATATTTCTTAATAAAGTTTCTGTAAGAATATTAAGATTATGCATTTATTCAGACATATAAAATTATTTAAAAATAAGTAAAGACGTAGAAAAAAAGCTAATCTCAAAATGAGAAATACTATATATATTGACCAGATTTCATGTTTTTTTTTTTTAATTTCTGCATGTTGAGATGTAAACAGAGTGATTCAGAGAGGTTTGGTGTGAAATGGTTCAGATGTCTTTACAGTGGTGGTGATAGGAACCAGGGGTCGCCATGACTACAACACAGATATAGACATTTTATTTACTACCCAGAACCACCAGTGAGCCTACACGAGTCTTCTGAGTTTATATGGAATGTTGATGATGGAAAATAGTGGAAGATCTGAAACAGTAAGTTTTCTTTGGGGACTATTTTGCCTCACAACAACCTGCATATTACATATCCCTCCTCCATGAATGGAGTTTAAGTTCTCTAAACTATCATAAAACAGTGTCTCAGTCATCAGGCAGTGAATTCATAACCATTTCATGTAGGAACTTTCTGTGAGGGAGCTTTTAGAGGTGGACGTCTGGTTCCTATCACCACCACTGTGAACAGTTCTGACTCGGTAAGTTTCTCTAGAACGGAGCGTTTCACACTAAAACCACGCTGAATCAGGGTTATTATAGCTCACTAAAATGAAAACTAAGAATGAAAAAATGTGTTCATGAACTGTAATAAAAAGTTTTCAAAACCACAAAACTAAAAACTGTCCACTGCAAAACTGAATAAAACGCTTTAGTTTCAGTTTTTGAGTGTGTTTCTGTGTTTGTCTATAAGGAAAGCTGCTGTGTTCATTTATTCTACTCTTATCAAATACCTGCTATCACAGCGTACATCATAATATTATAAACTAAAACTGAAACTAAAGTAAAACTAAAACTATGACTTTTCAGAAAATAAACAAAAAAATAAAATTAAATTAAAAATGTAAAAACTACAGTAACCCAGCTCTGAATGACTTTCTTTACATCTCAACCATTTAATTATGCAGGAATTTTGGAAGATCGATGGACTTCCCCCATTTCATGGTGATTTCACTTGCCATGAAAACATTTGTTTGCAGTGAACTCATCACAAAACAGTGCTATCACACCCACACAAACAAACACACACAAATATATATATGAACGTATGGCAGCTGGACAGATGGATGAGACCAGCCACCCTGCTGTCCGCATCACAGTTCATGTAAACTCCATTTTGGTACAAAGAATAAAAGGAAATCTCACTACTATTTTATGGTCAGTTGTGTAAATTACTCACAAAAGAAAGTCAACCAAAGTACCCACATAAAAAAGAAAATAAAGCATAAACCACAGCATAAAACACACCCAATATGAAGATAAACATCACAGGTATAAAACTGCAGCACACATACAGATACATACTCGGTTCCACTCGATGAGGCACAACAGGCGTAAATGTTAGTTTGAAATGCTTTGATTTATAAAGTTTTGGGAAAATACTGCTCTTTGGTTAATGAATAGCTATATATGAGCCTGGATACAGGCCCTGTAGTTCTCCTTCAGGCACTTCAGTGGTCATCCATCGCGGGTCCCCTGTGACCGCAGCTTCAGTCTGAGTCAGAATCTGAATCTGCTTCTGGGAACAAAAACAAAACAAGGAGTTTAAATAGAAAGAGCAGAAAACAGCACAGAAAACACAAACCAAACTAAACCACAGCATTCTTCAGAACTGTCTGCTCGGCTAAAGAAGTGCTGGATGATATCTATCAAATTCAGCATCATGCTATTTTACAATTATATCTCAGTATTAGACAGGGGGGACTGTAGGATTTCACCAGAGGGGCCTTCAAGGCCATTCAGAGAACTAAAAATATATGACTGTTCATTTTTATTCAATAAAAATCGTACTTAAATTCTGGAACAGCACTGCATTTGTTCCTTTGTCAGGTTTTAGGGCTAAATTCTTGAAACGGCCAGCGGAAAAACTGTCCAATCGGGATTGTTTTCTCTGTGGTATACAGCCAAGTAGGCTCTCCCATTGGTCAGGACTTCAGGAGCTGAAGAGAAGTCCTAACGTGATTAACCAGCATAGATACGAAGTAACAGAGCTAATCATGTTTTGATTTACAATAGGTGATACCGATTTCAAGAGGGGGGAAAAAGAGAAGGGAAATGCTGTAGACATGACTCTACACTCTCAAAAAAGATTCTTCAAGGGTTCTTTAGTAAAGACAGTGATTGTATATAGAACCATGAACACTTAAAGAACCATTTTCATGCTTAAAGTGTTCTCTGCATGGTGAAATGCTTCAGATTGATGGAGAATGTGTTGTATATAGTTTTATACAGCACCAAAAAGGGTGTTCTAATGTTACAGTAGCAGAACCCTTTTTGGCGCTGTCTAGAATCCTTTTCAAAAAGGTTCTACATAGAATCAAATACAACACATTCTCCATCAATAAATGGCTGCATAAGATTTAAGTCTTTAATAAATGCTATCAGGATTTTTTACATAAGCAAAGACAACAATGACGCGCTGCACCTCAACACTCGTTCAGACTCAGCATTGACGGATTTTGAAAAGCTTCACAGTCTGCAATACAGTTCAAACCACGAAAACAAAAAAAACATGAAAATCAAAGGGAGAATTCAAAGGACAGTTTTTTGGTTGTTGTTGTGGTTCCACAAGATTTTGGAGAGTGTCTGTGGAAATTTGTGTCCATTGAGTAGAAAGAGCATTTGTGAGTTGGATGAGAGGCCTGGCTCACAATCTCCATTCTAGTTCATCTCAAGGGTGTTCAGCTGGGTTGAGGTCAGGGCTCTGTGAGGGCCACTGGCGTTCCTCCACACCAAACTGGTCACTACATGTCTTTATGGAGCTGCTTTGTGCACAAGGGCTCAGTCATACTGGAACAGGAAAGGTTCTTCCCCAAACTGCTGACACAAAGCTGGAAGGAGATAACTGTGTAAAATGTCTTTGTGCTGCAGCATCAACATCACCCTTCACTGGAACTGAGAGCCCAAACCCTGAAAAACAGCCCCAGCCCATCATCCCTCCTCCACCAAACTCTACAGCTGGCACAGTGCAGTCAGGCAGGTAACGTTCTCCTGACATCCACCAAATCCAGACTCGTCCATCAGACTGACAGATAGAGAAGCTGATTCATCACTCCAGAGAACACGGTTCCACTGCTCCAGAGTCCAGTGGAGGCGCTTTACACCCCTTCAGCCGACGCTTGGCATTGCGCATAGTGATCTTAGGCTTGTGTGCAATCTGGAACTCCGCAGTGAATGATGTAACAGAGGATAGATGATTTTCACGCTGTAGGCGCTTCAGCACTTTGAGGCGCTGCTCTGTGACGTAGCTGAGCTGTTGTTGCTCTTAGATGCTTCCATTTCACAATACTAGCACTTACAGTTGACCGGTGCAGATCTAGCAAAGCTAGAAATTATGGCATCCTAAGACAGTGCCATGTTTAACCTTTGCAACTCCTTGGGACCACCGGTGGTTCCAAAACACAGTTCATCATATTCTTCATAACTTGCATATTTCATAAGCTACATTCTAAAGGTGGGGGTCGTATGAGAGCTGTAACTGTCTTCTTTCCAGTCAAATAGATGGGTGATGTAATTTTAAACCCTTATAATAAAAGAAGCTGAACTCAGTTTTTTTATTTCTACTGAAAGTCGACCCATTTTTCCACAAATCTGGGCTATAAACTATAAACAGATGGCGTCTCTTCAGTGATCTGCTCTGTAAAAATTATTTTTATAAAATAATACTAAGATTTTTGGCTGTCAGCAGTAAATTGTCAGCATATAGCAATATGTGTATGATCATAAACACGTTCTGTTCATTTGAGGGGAGCTTGTACAAAAAAATAAATAAATAAATAAAACAAAAATTTGCATTTATTTCATGCAGTTACTGAATAATTTGCCTTACGATTTGGTCATGTAAATTCCGATGGACAAACCAAAATATACCCAGGTCAATAAGAGGTTAAGGTCGCTGAGCTTATCAGTATGACCCATTCTACTGCCAGTGTTTGCCTAGGTTTCATATACCTGTTAGCAACGGGCGTGACTAAAACATCTAAACTCAATACTTACACACAGTTTTGATCATGCAGTGTACACAGTAAATACTTTGGTAAGATTAAGTTCAGTTCTCCTTTACTTCATTTACATACAGTAAAGGTGTGAGCAAACGTAACCATCACTATGTGGAACTCAGTCCAAAGCTTTGGAGTCGACTCCTGGATGCCTGGAATTGACGAATTGATTCTTTTTGGAATCGAGTCCCAGTTGTAGAAAACACTGTGGTGTGACTGACCTACTCAGCCTCTCTGCCTCTTTTAGTTTCTATTTTTTTCACGTAGCTTCCGTACAGTAATAGTGAAAGCTGCTGGGTAAGTTTAACCACATGAGTTTCCACTGAAGAGCCACAAAACAAACTAAACGTGCAGCAGAACTCGCTCAGAGCAGCTGGAGTTCAATCCTTTACTTCCTGCTGCCTCAGTAACAGGAAACAACTATGTGACAGTTTATGTGATGACTAAACAGAGACTGGATGTGCTGATGTAACAGGACTGTTGATGATGGGTGGGTTTCCCAAAAGCATTTTAGCAGTAGGGGCTGCATGACTGTTCATTTTTGCTGGTTCATCCAAAAAAGTACTCGACTAGTCGTCGTTATCCCTTTTTAAAGACTGATTTTGTTAGCACTGTTTTAATCGGGGCTGTGGTTTGAAGTGTGAAATGTGCTGTGAGATTCTTGTTGTAGTTCAGACAGCATTGTTTTGGGGCACTTCAGGGACTTTTAACCTGCGTCCACAAAACCTATGCTAAACATCTGTAAAACAGACATAAAACACAAACATTCATGCCCATCTTCAATATAAAATTTCAACCAGAAACTGTTTTTCGCTTTAAAAATGACATTTTTCCATCAAGTTGGCTCTTTTACTTCCTTTTAATGTGTTTCATTATATATTTTTTTTTATTGATATTTTATGCTTGTTTCCTATTTGAGCTGTTATTTTTAATACAAATTTGTATAAATTTATATATATATTTTTAATCTTTGTCATTATGATTTTCATTTGTTTTAGTTGGTAAATTTATTTTCAACTTTTTCAATCCCTTGTAATTTGCTCGGCTACATTGTAAATGAGGATCTCCCTCAATGTGCTTCTGAGTTGAAATAAAGGTTGATTGATTAGCCTGTCAATGGAAATTCCTACGTAATATTAGCATCAAGCTAATGACTGTGTTCATTCTCATTTTTTTGCATGGTCTACTGCTTCGTGGCTGAGCTGTTGTCGTTCCTAGATGCGTCCATTTCACAATAATAGCATGCGGCATGCGTCCGCCCCCTGGGCACTGACGATGACGGCCAAACACCCAGCAGCTTTGAACCTTGGCGAGGACAGCAGGGAGAGAGCCGCAAGTGGGGAGGGGGTGGAACGCAAAGTCCGAGCTCCGCCGACGGACGTGGGTCATGCGAGTGACGGCATGAGGAGGAGGACGAGGGCGATGGTGCCGGCCATGAGAGGCACCAAGGCAAGGAGCGAGTCCCGAGCTCCGCCGCCCGGGCCCCGCCCCCTGTGCTGCAGCGAGGCCGGCACCATCGTCCTCCTTTGCGCTCCGTCCCCTCCCCACTCGCGGCTCTCTACCTGCTGTCCTCGTCAAGGTTCGTCGCTGCTGGTTCTTCCTGCCGGCTCTCGTGGCCGTCATCGTCAGGGCCCGGGGGGCGGGCGTACGCCACATAGCACTTACAGTTGTCCAGGGCAGCTCTAGCAGGACAAAAACTTTACAAAGTGACTTGTAGCAGAGGTGGCATCTTATAATAGTGCCATGTTTAAAGCCACTGAGCTCTAATAGAGTGCTCTACCCTAAACATGGACCTCCAGAACAGTTGAGAGTATTTTTAACTGAAAATATCTGCGATATGCTCAAAAAAGCATTTCATTTATCGCGATGGCACAATCTACCACAATAACAAAGTAATAAAATAACAATAAAATGTTGTCACCTCTACCTTTAGTCAACATTTAGGATATTCTGAATAGAGACATTGCATTATATTGCACTTTAGATCATCTACAATCCCCATCTGAGATCTACAAGTTGAAAAAATTGAAGTTGAAAATTTTCTACTGTATTTCAAAGTCAGCGGCATCATATGATGATGGGGGGGGGGCAATAGCAGGATGTGAATTACCTTGTGTGTTCTGAGGCTCGTTGTGGGAGCCGCCCCCCTTGAGGAAATCGGCCAGCTCATTAAAGATGAAATAGAAATCCAGCGCAAAAACAATAGTGGCGATGAAGCCGAACACCTGCAAGGGAAAAACGGCCTTCAGCTCAAACACAAAGTCTGCAGACTCTATATTTAGATCCTTTACATGTAATATTATATCACCCCCCAGAGTAAAAACACTACACACAGCTTTAAAGGGCACATAGTCTACATATTCTTGTGTTGTCCATGTGTGACGTCTGTGTTCTTATATAATAATGATAATAATAATAATAATAATAATAATTTTCCAACTTTAATCCTTTCAATTAAAATGAGCTGTTTTCTTTACTACTGCTGCAGACAGAATGGGCGGAGCTAAACTGCTGTAGGCTGAATGGGTGGGGCTAAACGGCTGTTTACTGAATGGGTGGAGCTAAACTACTGTAGGCTAAATGGGCGAGGCTAAACTGCTGTAGCTGAATGGGTGGGGCTAAACTGCTGTAGACTTAATGGGTGGGGCTAAACTGCTGTAGGCTGAATGGGTGGGGCTAAACTGCTATAGGCTGAGTGGGTGGGGCTAAACTGCTATAGGCTGAGTGGGTGGAGATAAACTGCTGTAATAGGCGGAGCTAAACTAAGCTGGTTATGAAAGCTGCTTCCTTACTCCTGCAGCTTTGGAGGATCCGTCTGGATACTTTGACACTGCCATGATGGAGATGATGAAGAAGACGATGGAGGCGCTGACACAGCGCAAAAAATCCTAGAAGAGGGAAAAAAAGGGAAAATGGGATTAGAAATAGTTTCAGGGTAGCAAAACTGAGACCACACTGTCAGAGTCTGAATGAGCTAAACTGTCTCAGTGCATTAATGTAGTGTTCCTGCAGTTCAGGGGCGGATTTCGTGATCTAAGGGGTTCTAAGCAAAAGACAGGAGTGGCGCCCCCTGGATGCACATTTTTAAATTAACTGAAGCTCTGGCCTCCTGAGCGGCATCCATTTACACTGCAAAACAATAATATCTTGGCAAGTGAACTCATCTACTTCATAATATCTGATATTATTCATTCTGAAATTGTTGTATAAATAGCATAAGTATATTTATGTGTAGACATTTAAATTTTATTACGTGAAATGATCTCACTGTATTTGTGCAATACTCCATGTGTAAAATATCCTTACAGTGTAAATATCTTAGTTTTAATTTATTTATAATTCTTTATATTGTTAATTTTTTTGTGAAGGATAGAGTTTATATTTTCATCTTATTTTTTACTTTTAGTATTTTATATGTTGTCTATATAGTAACAAGTAACAAACTGTAAAAACCTAAGTTAATTACTTGCTTTTTAATTCTCTTCTTGCTACTTCTTTTCTTTTTCTTGAGTGCCTTGCTCTCCCTTTGCTGCTATAACACTGAGAATTTCCCCGTTGTCTGACTCATAAAGGATTATCTTATTTTATCTCTTATTAGCAGGTATTTTTGCTTGTTTTAAGAAATATGCTTGAAACAATCTAAATTATCTGCCAATATAGTGAGATAATTTGGTACAGAGTAACATATAAGTATTAATTATTGATTTTTATGTATTATTTTTTATGTCTTTTGTTTTCCAGGCTGTAATCAGTAATGTAAACCCATTACATTTTAAGAGAAGTAATTGGTAAGTTAGTAATGGAATACTTTTTTTGAGTAATTGCTCTAACACTAACCTTTTACACCAGCTCTCATAGGCTACGTTCACATTACAAGCCTCATTTCTCAAATCCGATTTTTTGCTCACGTCCGATCTCTCTGACAGGATGGTTCACACTCGTTTAGGTAAGTGATTCAAATGTCATTAATGTGAACGAACCGCTGTCCTGAAATGACCCGCATGATCACATCCTACTCAGTAACGTCACGTGAACGAATCACGTTCATCATCAGCACAAACTAACGAGCAGAACGAGCTTCGCTGAGAAGATAATTAATTCTGATCAGCTCTCAGCTTCATTATTAGAGCGAGACGAAGGAGAAAAATGTGAGATGAGCTGCTTTTCCACCGTTTACAGGCTTTAACTTCTGTTCGCCATGGTAACAATGATGGCGCAGTGGAAAAAAGCATATGAATTCAGATCTGAGCGTCACATTAAGGTCACATGGCCACGAATCGGATACGTATCTGATCTAGGACCACATATGAAAGTGACTCAGGTCGGATTTGAAAAGATCAGATTTGCGTGTCACACAGCTCTGAAAACATCAGATCTCAGTCACATTAGGGCAAAAAATCAGATTTATGCCACTTCAGCCTGGTAATGTGAACGTAGCCAAGAAGTCAAGGAAATTTTAATAGAGAGGAAACAGTCTGGAGAGGAATTTCCAGAGTGCTGGTAGTTGGAGGCGAATGAACACTGTTTTGTGTCACTGATAATATGCTTATCTAGCTATGTAGACTCAACAGATACATGTCAGCAGATAAACTGAGCTGCCCAACACAGCGGAGTAACAGTGAAACCCTCGTTTTAGCTGTAGTCTCGAGCTCTTCTCTGATTGGTCCGTGGTTTGTTTATGTTTTGTATTGATGAACGCATTTGCCGTTTCCAGCGTAAACATCCTGCATCATTGCTGTTGCTTCTCTGCTGCACTTGAATAACTTTCATTTGCATTTCCCTTTCAACACCGAGAAAAGCACACCGAAGAGCCTCCTCTCCAGCATGTAGATCATTAGTGTGTTCTCATACCAGTCTGCCTTCATACGGTTGTGTGACATACAATAGTCCATTATAACCATGATCGGGGGTGGGCTGCACTGAAATTACTGAATCAATTACTGAAATTACTGAAAACAAACTTAACCAAAACACCAACCAAAAAAACAAAACAAAAACAGTCATAATTCATCTCTACATGATCATTTTCCAGCCTCTCTTCATCCAATAGAGTTAAATAGGCTGTTTTTGTTACTGTGCCTTTAAGACTGATATATGTAATTATACAACAGTTAGTTCCGGCCACGCAAGCTGATTGGTTGAGGAGCTTTTTAACTGTGCTGTTATTTCGCCATTTCACTCCACTGAGATGCTGCTGCTAAGCAACGACTTTGACAGCTGTAGGAGACGCTCAAGACATTTGAACGTTTTTACTTCTTACTTTGCTACAAACAGAAAATGGACACTTTTAGGATCACATTTGACCGACAGCCGATTTGGTCAGACTGTGAAGATGAGACAACACTAAATTCCCAAACTGTCATCACCACTGAGCAGCTTTTCAGTCGGCAGCTGAGACAGAAGAACAGCTGAACAACCTGGAATCAGCCAGAAATGAACCGAACACCATTCGCCAAACTAAATGGGCTGTAAGAACCAGAACCAGCCGGTTCCGAGACAGTTTCTTCCCCCGGGCCATCAGGCTGCTGAACAGCCAGTAGTGCTGGTGTATCAGTCTATAGGCCTGTCACTGCACCTCTGAGTCATCATGATGATCTCCATGGACAATCCACACCTCAAACAGACTCACTCTGATCTTACTGCACCTTCAATCTGTACTTACACATATAGATTGACATCTTGTACATCTTCTATTCATATCTTGTATAATCTGGAAGATTTCTATTTCAGTATTCTATCCCCTGTGTACCTGCAACTCATTTATTTATCTACCTCAGATTAACTGCACATATGGAATGTGTACAACAGTACATTTCATAGTATTATTTCATAACTTATTACTGTACAACTGTACATAGTAAATAGTGCAATATTAGTGTATATTGTGTATATTCAGAGTCGGTGTATATATATTTTGTATTTAAATTCTACAAGGGGGCTATGCACATAAGATTTTCACTCATCGTCCACCTGTGTAATGTGATGTGACAATAAACGTGATTTGATTTGATTTGATTTGAAGATGCTTTACAGACTGGCTGGAACAAAACAACATTAATACTGATCTGGCAAAAAATGACAAAACTGAGCTAAACTTGATATTGTGGCAGTTTTAATGGCTCAGTCCGATTTGGTCAGACTCTGAAGATCAGACTATGCATTTGGCGAATGGTATTGGGTTCATTTCTGGCTGATTCCAGGTTGTTTAGCTGTTCTTCTGTCAAAGCTGCCGACTGAAAAGCTGCTCAGTGGTGATGACAGTTTGGGAATTTAGTGTAAGGAGCTGGAGAACGAACTGCCGGCTGTGCAGCGAGTGGGCGGAGCTCGTTTCTCTGACGTAGCAACAAGCTGCTCGTTAAGGAACTATAATTTGGTGAAGGAACTGCGAACATTAAAACATATTAAACGCCGCGTTCACGGCCCAGTTTATTAATTTATTACTTTATTTATTTAACTGTTGTATAAAAGCAACAGAACACTCGAGGAGTGTGTTATCGCCAATAATGTTATTTCGCTATAACACACTCCCTTTCATGATCTATTGCTTAAATGAGCTCTGTGTTTTATTGTGCCTCTTTCATAAAACACTCGGAGCTGAAACACTCCTTGGAACTTCAGGAAGAGTGGGCGGGACTAAACTTCTGTAGGCTGAATATGTGGATATATGTAAATGTGTCAGTTCTTGTGACATCACAAAAACAGTGAATTCAAAACGGGCTGTTTTTTTGTAGTTAAGTTTCCATAAATGGACTGTGTGTCAAAATCCTTTTAAAAGAAAAGCAAGGGATTCGAGTTCACTTTAACACAGGCCCTTAAAGGGTTCTTTAGTAAAGACAATGGTTCTATATAGCGCCAAGAACACTGAAAAAACCCTTTGCATGATAAAAAAGTTCTTGGTATTGTAAAAGTGTTCTTCAGATTGAAAAGGGCTCTATATAGCAACAAAAAAAGTTCTTGTATTGTGATGATGTCAAGCCTGTAACAGAAGAACCCTTTTTGGTGCTATGTAGAACGATTTTCAAAAAGGTTCTGTATGGAACCATCTATAGCACATTCTCTGTCGTTCTGAAGAACCCTTTAATGATGCAAAGAATCATGCACGGGGTTCTTTGAGTGTTCTTGGTTCTATGTAGAACCATTTTCTGCACTAAAGAACCCTTGAAGAAGCATCTTTTTAGGTGTGTAAACTAAGAAAAATAAATACAATAAACTAAATAAGATAAATAACAGTAATATATAAATAATTAACAAATAATAATTCAATAATAACCCTGCAATCGCAGGTTTGCTCAAAATAATTGTCAGAAAAATCTGTATTTTGATGTTTTATTGATGAAAATGAAAGGTTTAGGTGGTCAGTGCTGCGCCAGTGTGTCTCACCATCAGTGGCCAGTGGAAGCCTTTAAACCGCTGGTTAAATTTGGTGGAATAAGCGAAGAGGAGGAAGAGTGCGGAGAGGAAGAAGACGAGCGGAGCGGTGACGAACGCAGCGGCCGATGAGGCACAGAAACACACGAAGCTGATGAAGGACGAAGCCTGGACAGAGAAAAGAGAGAGAGTTAGACAGCAGATATTACTCTGATTCACTGTCTTAGTGTAACTATGTGTGTATAACTAAATAAATCTTTAGTGGCTCTTTAATTCTGTCTTATATGTGTCAGAACTTTAATTAAAAGGGGAATCCCACCAATGTTTCAGAATTTCTGCACAGTTCAGTGTAAACAGAGTGATTCAGAGTGGTTTGGTGTGAAATGGTTCACATGTCTTTACAGTGGTGGTGATAGGAACCAGGGGTCGCCATGACTACAACACAAATATAGACATTTTATTTACTGAGCATTCATGGTTCTATATAGAACCACTGTCTTTACTAAAGGACCCTTGTGGAACCATCTTTTTAAAGAGTGTGGAACGGAGCATTTCACACCAAACCGCTCTGAATGACTTTGTTTACACCTTAACCTTTTACCTATGCAGAAATTTTGAAAAATGGATGGAATTGCCTTTTAAAGCACTTTAACAAATACATTAAACCCCAAAATGTTGCAGATTCTGCCAAAATATTCAGCCGTAAGGTTAAATATAGGCCTGTGTGAGTCAGTCAGCAGTTCAGAGTGAAACTCAGCCGTCCAGATTCAGACACTGATCACAAGACCACAGATCATCACTACGATCACCAGGAAACATCTCGGAAAATGTGATTACTAGATTTCACAACTCCACACCGATCAGCAGCACAGACAGTATACGGGGTGTGTTTACTGGCTTTATTTAACGTTGGTGTAAAAAATGCAAAGTAATTAATCTGTTTATCTATATATGTGTCTATCTATCTGTCTGTCTATCAATCTATCTGTCTGTCTGTCTGTCTATCTATCTGTCTTTATATCTGTCTGTCTATCTATCTATCTGTCTGTCTATATATGTCTGTCTGTGTGTCTATCTATCCATCTGTCTATCTATCTATCTGTCTGTCTATCTATATATCTATCTGTCTATCTATCTATCTGTCTGTCTATCCACATATCTATCTGTCTATCTATCCATCTGTCTATCTATCTATCTATCTATCTATCTATCTGTCTGTCTGTCTATCTATATATCTGTCTATCTATCTATCTATCTATCTGACTGTCTGTCTATATATATCTGTCTATCTATCTGTCTCTGTGTGTCTATCTATCCATCTATCTATATATCCGTCTATCTATCTATCTATCTATCTATCTATCTATCTATCTATCTATCTTTCTATCTGTCCGTCCGTCTGTCTATCTATCTGTCTGTCTATCCATTCATCAATCTATCTATCTATCTATCTATCTATCTATCTATCTATCTACCTATCTGTCTATCTATCTAACTGTCTGTCTGTCTGTCTGTCTGTCTGTGTGTCAGTGTAGCTCTGCTGTCTGGTGTGGGGATCATGCTGGAGCAGATGAAAATGCTGAGTTTCGGAGTTTCTGCTTCATACAAACTTATATAACTTATTACACGTTATAATCATCAGATTATCTTAAAGTCACACAGTTTTCCATAAACACTGACTTTGTTCCTACAGGGAGAGCAGGAGGAAAACCCCGTTTCCTGGCTGAACCCCAGCAGAGAGAGAGAGAGAGAGAGAGAGAGAGAGAGAGAGAGAGAGAGAGAGAGAGAGAGAGAGAGAGAGAGAGAGAGAGAGAGAGGAGTGGGATGTGTGACCCAGATTGAAAGCAGATGACTCTCTTTCCTTCATTCATTCCTTTCCTTCATACTTTTACAAGCTACGAAGTTTCTGAGAGACGATAAAAGCTAAAAGCGCAGTGAAAGCGCGCCTCGCTGCCCTCCCGCTGGAGTTTACTGAGAGTTTAAGTCCTCAGAGCTCCGGATCGAACTTTACTCCATTCAGATGAGCGAAAATGGCAGAGTGGAGCTAAAAGCTCGACACACACACTCACCACCTCTCCGATCAGCAGCTGTCCTTTTCTGGAGGAGACGAAGTCCTTACTGAACAGTAGAGAAACCACAGAGGGGTTCGGGGGGTCTCCTCTCCGATCGGGGTCCTCCATGTCACCCATCGCGCCGAAAATAATAAAACCCGAGAGCTGCTGCGCTGGAGCTGCTGGAGTTTCTGCAGCGGAGAGTCGCTACTAAGCGAGTCGACTCTTTGAGTCGGTTCTTTTAGGTGAACACTGGGAGTCGGCTCGTGCTGAAGGGTCGCTGGAATATTCGGATTTTTTTCTTCAGTAGTTTTAAAACGGTGCGTGCTGAAGAGGTGATACTGACAAATTACCGTTATTTACAACAAAAACAAGCAGCTACAACTTCGATCGGTCGGAAATGTGTGTCTTTTAAAAAAACACGGAACACGCTGATTTCTACGCGCTGCCACGACCCCCGCCAGAGCTAAGGGGCCGTCTACAAATTACACTACAGCAGAGATTCCGAAACCTTTTACAGTCGCTTTACTCTTCAGATATTTACGGAGCCCCAAGAGGCCGTGGTTAAAAAAAAAGTTAATGTCATTGCGTTCCCTCGCAAAGGTTTTGCATTACCTCGCAAATGTTTTACGTTCCCTCGCAAGTAAAATTCATTTCCTCGCTAATGTTTTGCATTCCCTTGCAAATAAAATGCATTCCCTCACAAATGTTTTGCATTATGATGCAACGGTTTGCATTCGCTTGCAAAAGCTGTGCTTTGCTTAAGCTCAGAGATGAAGCAGCTCATTGAATCTTACGTTAAAGCTCTAATGCAGGCAATGTCGTTGGGCACCTCTGGTCCTACATTTGATTGCTGTCTGATGAGCATATATTTTGCACAGAAACCATTAAAAGTGTCTGCTGGTTCCTGGTGGTGTCCAGTGGTCACTAATGGTATTCTGTATTTTACTGAGGTGACTGCCAACCCCAAACCCAAGCTTTAGCAGATTGTATCCAGCTTGGCTTTTGATAGTCTGGACTGCAAAAAAACAAATGAAATCTGAATTTGGAAATCGGATCCAAACCACAGTTGGAGGTGTGTTGAAATGTGATTTGAAATCAGATTTTTACAGATGCATCTCAGACTGGACGCTCAAATCGGATTTTAAAGTGTCTTTTGCGTCACTCGCTATGCGACAAACAACAACATTCCAGAGCCGGTTTATAAGGAGTCTCGCCACTTCCTATTTCCCCTGTTATATAAAACACATGAGTGCAAAACGCCAGAGGGCGCCCGCGAGCGAGTCCTCAATGAATGGGGGTGAATGGAGCTAAACGACTAAAAATGACAAGTTAAAACAGTTTCAAATCACTCGCCCAGAACTTTCCTTTAATTTTAGAAAATAGAAGGAGGTTTTTCATCAAAAAAACAAAGAAAACTCACTTGTATGTTTCCTTTTTTCTACGGTAAACGGGTTTTGGGCAGCAGGATGCTAACATTACTGCTACTGAGTGCTGATTGGTTAGCATTACTGCTACTGAGTGCTGATTGGTTAGCATTACTGCTACTGAGTGCTGATTGGTAAGCATTACTGCTACTGAGCACTGATTGGTTAGCATTACTGCTATTGAGTGCTGATTGGTTAACGTTACTGCTACTGAGCACTGATTGGTTAGCATTACTGCTACTGAGTGCTGATTGGTTAACGTTACTGCTACTGAGCACTGATTGGTTAGCATTACTGCTACTGAGAGCTGATTGGTTGGCATTACTGCTACTGAGTACTGATTGGTCAGCATTACTGCTACTGAGTGCTGATTGGTTAGCATTACTGTTACTGAGTGCTGATTGGTTAATGTTACTGCTACTGAGCGCTGATTGGTTAGCATTACTGCTACTGAGAGCTGATTGGTTAGCATTACTGCTACTGAGTGCTGACTGGTTGGCATTATTGCTACTGAGTGCTGATTGGTTAACGTTACTGCTACTGAAAGCTGATTGGTTAGCATTACTGCTACTGAGTGCTGATTGGTTAGCATTACTGCTACTGAGTGCTGATTGGTCAGCATTACTGCTAGTAAGTGCTGATTGGTTGGCGAGCGGAGCAGCTCATTGGCTGTTCGCGCTCACTGACATCATGAATGTACATGAGGCACTGTTTTAAACTCCTATAGCTCGAGTTTAAAAGCTCTTAAAAATATATCAGTGGTGTTAAAATGTTTTATGCTGTGTTCAGGAAATGATTGTATTCTTTTATATTAAAAATGTTTAAGCTTTTATAAACTATGATTTTGCTCAAATGCTCCATCTTAACCCATTCATTTTGCACTTACTCAGGAGCGCCCTCTAGCGTTTGAGAAACCCGGAAAACATTGCAGAGTGGAAATTCTCCTCTCTACAAGCTCTCTGTCAATTCTAGAGTAACATAAGTGCTGCGATTCAAGAAGTGCTCCAAAGATTCATGCTCTGGTGTTCTGTGATTGATTCAAGATGCATCTGATGGTGTCCTAATAGGATCTAAAGGTGTCCTATAGGAAACTGCATTTTGTCATGATGCTTTTGTAAGACATTTAGCCTTATAAACTCAGTCCACCTTAAAATCTATTTATGATGTGATGATATTTTGTTATTTTTTACAACACAGTTTATTTCGGTTACTGAGCTGTTTGTGTGAATTACAAAATCCAACCTCATATCACTTTAATCTCCATCTTGTTTTCTACAGCGCAGCACCGTTTAGAAGCAGCTGGGCTGCAGTCCAGCCTCCGCACTGCGGGGTTAGTTCTTACACAGCGTTACAGCTCAGACACCTTCAGTACACAAAGCCTGATAAAGGACATTCAGTCTTTCAGTTCCAGTTTACACAGATTTTAAACTGAAAAACAGAAACATCTGAAATCAGGGATTTTCTGCTTTATTAGCGTCTTTCAGACGTCAGTATTTCAGTTTTAATAAGTATATTAATGAAGTTGACATTATCAGCTGGTAAAGCTGTAGTTATTCAGAAACAATGTTTATATTTTACTGATGTTTTTATTTACTGGACTAAAATAAATCTGTCATTGTTTGACTCACAGACAGTCAGTGTTCATATATAATCTGATGTGTGTATCAGCTGATCTGCCTGTCTTATAGATGATAATATATAATGCAGCACAGCTGGAAAATATATCTATTCAGCATAGAATTATACTGAATTAACTCTGTTTGCACTGATTGATCAGACTTTTCTAGCAGGTGTTAAACTGACCCTCTGTCTGTTACAGTGAACCCACCTATGGGCTAAACTGGAACACTGCACTTCCCTCATTTTGGGTGGAATTGTACTGAACGGTAGGAGCGAGAAACAAAGTTCAAGTGTTGGTTTGTAGCAGAGATGTTTATGTTGCTTGTATAAAAATATGATTATTCCAACTTAAACATTTTTTAAACATTATGTCACAAAAAGCAACGTTATTTTGTTACAGCGTTATTTTGTTCGTTATGTTGTTGTTTATCTTGGTAATATTGCTAATTTTGACTTAAACTTTGGGTGAGTTTGAAATAACTGGCAACGCTAACATTACTGAATCAAAGAGCCGTTTGGGAGCCAAAAGAGTCGACTCTTATTTGTGAACCGAGTCATCTGACCCGACCCAGTGACTCAGTGAAAAGAGCCGGAATGACCATCACTTTGAGCTGATGTGCAGCATCGCTTTCAGCGCACACTGGAAACGGAAATACACAGAGAGGCCGGAAACGCAGCCCTGCCTCACTAACATCTGCTTTTCTGAGAAAAAAGGAATGAAGAAAGCCCTCCATCCGTCTATCACTCCTTCCATCAACTCACTCCTCCACTGACTCTCCCTCCATCCGCACACAGGGCCACCGTCACTGTTTTAATACTAACTATTTCACACTTATTTAACTCTTTATGGAAATGAACTGTGGAATTTCTATATGATTCACACAGCAATCCTAAAGAGTCCATATCATCACATTTATCTGATAGAGGTCCTCTCATGATGCTTCCCACACGGAAATCTGATAGGGGAGGGTGGGGCACAACCTAACACAGTTTTTGTGAAATAATTTAAAAAATGTTTAAGTTGGAATAATCATATTTTCATATAAGCAACACTTGAACTCTGTTTCTCGCTCCTACTGTTCAGTACAGTTCCACCCAAAATAAGGGGAAGTGCAGTATTCCAGTTTAGCCCATAGGTGGGTTCACTGTAACAGACAGAGGGTCAGTTTAACACCTGCTAGAAAAGTCTGATCAATCAGTGCAAACAGAGTTAATTCAGTATAATTCTATGTTTAATAAATATATTTTCCAGCTGTGCTGCATTATTAATTATCATCTATAAGACAGACAGACAGATCAGCTGATACACACACATCAGATTATATATGAACACTGACTGAGTCTGTGAGTCAAACAATGACGGATTTATTTTAGTCCAGTAAATAAAAACATCAGTAAAATATAAACATTGTTTCTGAATAACTACAGCTTTACCAGCTGATAATGTCAACTTCATTAATATACTTATTAAAACTGAAATACTGACGTCTGAAAGACACTAATAAAGCAGAAAATCCCTGATTTCAGATGTTTCTGTTTTTCAGTTTAAAATCTGTGTAAACTGGAACTAAAAGACTGAATGTCCTTTATCAGTCTTTGTGTACTGAAGGAGTCTGAGCTGTAACGCTGTGTAAGAACTAACCCCGCAGTGCGGAGGCTGGACTGCAGCCCATCTGCTTCTAAACGGTGCTGCATTGTAGGAAACAAGATGGAGATTAAAGTGATATGAGGTTGGATTCTGTGATTTTACACAAACAGCTCAGTGACCGAAAAACGTACATGCCCTGAAAACACTCTTTGGCTCAGATCTCTTTAAAACACTGACCAATATCTCTGAATTTTGGTGGGAGGCTGCGGCTAGGAAATGTGGTAATGTGGCCAGAAGCTCACACTGCTTGACCTTCTATAACAACACATAAGGCCTGTGTTAAATTGTGCCCTATGTTAGGCTGTTCCCACACTTCCCTATATGACAATAAAGGCAGTTAAAATATATGACATACATAAATATATGACATATTGCTGTTGTCAGAAGGAAATCTCAAAAATGGTAACTTTACAGAAAAAGGAAAAACCTACTTTACTTTTAATGTAAGTCAGTGGAACCAGACGTTTGTCGAAGTCATTTTGGGCCGTTTCTTTTGGTCCATTCTTCGTGAAATTTTCACACAATATAAAGAACAACAGGCCTTTTTAAATTACGATAAAAACTGAAAAACTACAAAAATGGAGATACGTTGTTTAGTTCCAATAGCAGCGATATATTAGCATGTATGAGCTTCCCTTATATCCAGCTTTTGTTGTTTCTGCCAACGTATTTGAAATTCAAATATGAGACATATATTTCAGCCATATTTCAATTCATGCACACACTCTTGGGCAGAAATGGCAAAACAAACAAAGCTTTTAATGGTCTTAACAACAAATCATTAAAGAAATAGACAAAGTAACTTCATTTAAGAGTTTTGATTCCTTTAAATGTTTTTTGTTTAGTGTGTAAATGTGCAGACAGTCTTTTACAGAAAGAAGAGTCAGTATTGATCCACTCAGCACTGACGGCTTCAAACGGCTGAAAAACACTGCTGAGCTAGTTTGTGTTTAATGAGAGACCAAATATTCACTATAGGGTGTAAATCTGGACTCTGACCAGCTAAAACCATCAGAAACAATCATTATATTTCAGGCCCGGCCCCTTTTGTTTGCCCAGGAGTGTGTATATATATAATATATATATATATATATATATATATATATATATATATATATATATATATATAATCTTAATGTTTAGCCATTTTTGCCCAAGAATGTGTGCATGAAATGAAATATGGCTGAAATATATGTCTCATATTTGAAAATGGTCAATTTCAAATACGTTGGCAGATACAACAAAAGCTGGATATAAGGGAAGCTCATATATGCTAATATATCACTGCTATTGGAATTAAACATTGTATCTCTATTTTTGTCGTTATATACATATATACATATATATATATATATATATATATATATATATATATATGTATATATATATATATATATATATATATATATATAAAACATATTTAAAATGTATATTTAAAATGTATATTTCCTTGTTTTCATCATAATTAATGCATATCTATGTTCACCCACCTATCAGACATATATGCACGATCCATATATTATTGCATATTTCCAACATTTGATACTCACATGTATGTACACCACATATATGACCCTATATTTTGAAATATGTGCCTGACCCTGTATGATATATGTGCACATATGGCCATATATCAGATTTCCCTATGGGTTATGTGTGTTTATGTATCAAAAACAGTCAGAATTCATTTTTCCAACCTCTCTTTATCCTTTAAGTCGACAGTGTACGTCAAACTTATGTCACCGTGTTCGGTGGTAGTTCTGCTCCTTTTAGTTCTTTAATAATTTAAAGTGCTGCCAGCTTTAGAATTCAACAGGCTGCTTTTGTTACTGTGCCTTTAAGACTGATGTATGTTAATGAGTACTGTTCTGATTGGCTGCCTTCATGCAAAAAACAGTCTCCTTATAATGTCAGTGTGACCGGGCAGGGCTAAACTGCTGTAGGCTGAATAGGTCCCATATATGTAAATATGTGGTTTTTGAGACATCACAAAACTAGCAAATACAAAACAGGCCATTTTTTCTGCTTAGTGACCATATATGGACTGTGTGGACTGGAGAGTGACCAATGTAATGTTTAAATACAACATCAAACTCTTATTTTAAATGAGTGATTGAAATTTAAAATTAATTTAAAATAAACTGGGACAAATTCTATGTTTTTCATTCCAAAAAAAATGAGATTACTATAAAACAGCACTACAGGAATATCAAACAGAGGTGAAAATGTATTATTTAAGCAACAGAACACACCTTCGTCTCGTGCCTGCGACCAAATCACAGCCGTGATGTTATTGGCGATAACACACTCCTCGAGTGTTCTGTTGCTTTTATACAACAGTTAAATAAATACAGTAATAAATTAATAAACTGGGCCGTGAACGCGGCGTTTAATATGTTTTAATGTTCGCAGTTCCTTCACCAAATTATAGTTCCTTAACGAGCAGCTTGTTGCTACGTCAGAGTAACGAGCTCCGCCCACTCGCTGCACAGTCTGCTGTAAGCCTCGCCTTTTGAAGTGCGGACTGAGCTATAAAACTGCCGCAATATCAAGTTCAGCTCAGTTTTGTCAGTTTTTGCCAGATCAGTATTAATGTTGTTTTGTTCCAGCCAGTCTGTAAAGCATCTTACAGCCCATTTAGTTTGGCGAATGGTGTTGGGTTCATTTCTGATTCCAGGTTGTTTAGCTGTTCTTCTGTCTCAGCTGCCGACTGAAAAGCTGCTCAGTGGTGATGACAGTTTGGGAATTTAGTGTCGTCTCATCTTCAGAGTCTGACCAAATCGGCTGTCGGTCAAATGTGATCTTAAAAGTGTCCGTTTCTGTTTGTGGCAAAGTAAGAAGTAAAAACGTTCAAATGGCTTGAGCGTCTCCTACAGCTGTCAAAGTCGTTGCTTAGCAATGGCATCTCAGGGGAGTGATACAGTGTTTGTGAAAAAAACGTGATGTTATGGTGAAATAACAGCACAGCTAGAACGCTTCTCAACCAATCAGCTTGCATGGCCGGAACTAACTGTTGTAAAAATGCATATACTACAGTGAAGGAGACCTCAGTCAGACATATGATCAACAATATTCAAAATAAGTCAGTTTGTATATTTACATTCTTGGGATCCTCACAGTACGAAACACTGAAACACCGTCCAATACGACCCGATATGAACAGCTTTATTTAATAGTTTGATGTGACAGATGAGAGACGCACTGTAATACTGATGCTGATACTACTGAAACTATATAATTATCAAACACAGAAGATGATTCATACAGCAGGATAATACATTCATGAGGCTACAGCTGTATATAAATTACATAAACACACATCCTCTCAACACTGACTAGATAAAAGTTTGCATTATTAATCAATAATCCGCACAATCAGCACACATATCAAATATATACAAATATAGGCTGTGCAGGACATGATTAATCGGGAGTTTGTCTGTTATTTGCTGCAGTGTTATCCCTGTAATTGTTTGATAAAACTAGGTGCTAAAAATGGATCAGATTTTAATTGTGTATATATTAATTTGTGAGAGAATAATCAAACCTTAGCTTATGTACTTTTGTCATACTGTCATTTTGTCTCACTGCATTTTCCTTTACATTTAATGAGCTAATTTTAATAATATGTGGCCCCTTTGTCTTTAATTTCCTTTTTATGTCATTATTTTGCTTTTATTTATTTTGTCCTATTATTTTATTCACTTTGTATTTTTTCTTTTTGATGCTCTTTTTTTTAACTTGTGTGATAAATTAAGCGTAGCATTATTTTGAATTGCCTTTGTGTACAAAATGTACTTCACAGATAAACTTGTCTCGCCTCACTATGTAGCTTAGCGTCCGGCTCTATCCTCCAAGTGGCACAAAAAATTTAACGCTAGGCCCTGTTGAACAGATGGAATAGATGTTAGGCATGTGTCCAGGTGAGTGGCACTGGATTTTAACATTTAAAGTCCCAGGAAACAAAGGACAACTGTTAGCATTTGAGGCTAGGGGGAAACGGCTAAATTTGCTATTAACGTTTTAACCTCTTATTCTCCAGGGTATATTTTGGTTTTTTCCATCTGAATGTACAAGACCAAATCGTAAGGCAAATTATTCACTAACTGCATGAAATAAATGTAATTTTTTTTTTTGTAAAAGTTCCCCTCAAATTAACAGAACATGTGTTTTATGATCACACATATTGCTATATGCTTACAATTTACTGCTGAAAGCCACAAATCTTATATGCTCTTTGTAATTTTTAAAAAAATTATTTTTACAGAGCAGACTCTGTAAAAATACTGAAGAGACACCATCTAACATCCAGTTTGTAGCCCAAATTTGTGGAAAAATGGGTCGACTTTCAGTAGAAAAAAAATGTGAGTTCAGCTTCTTTTATTATAAGGGTTTAAAATTACATCACCATCTATTTGACTGGAAAGAGAACAGTTACAGCTCTCATACCACCCCCACCTTTAGAACGTAGCTTATGAAATATGAAAGTTATGAAGAATATGACGAAGTGCGTTTTGGAACCACCGGTGGTCTCAAGGAGTTAAAAAAGGTTCACATATAAGACATTTTAATGTTATTTTTACAAATAACTGTTTATAGATTACAGTAGATCTATATGGTGGCTATAAGCTTCCATTGTTAGCTATATTGCAGTGTCGCTCCAGTTTGATACGAATGGACACCAAACATGTTGACTACATTTGGGGCAAAAATATTTAAATTTGTCTTTTGGCTGAATTATTGCTATTCCTTTGGGGTCCACAAACTTCGTTTCTATCTCTGTTTGTGTATCTTTGTGATGATCCAGCTCAGAAATCCAGTTCAAACACTTCCTGAATCTGCAGAGTCGCCCTTTCCATTCCATCTTATCACAAGATCATACGAGACTCACATCCGGAGTTATGAGCCTATGAAGAGGGGCTGAGATACACGTCATCTGCCTCTCACCGCGTGGAACTGGTGGATTCGTGTGTCCGTCTACATTCTGTGTGAAACTGACCGATGGACACTCAGGAAATCACTAAGGACTGACCATCACGCTGGAAACCCTTCATTCTTCATTCAGTCCACATCGGAGACTCATGTGAAACGGCGTGCAGAGAGTTTACAGCTGCTGAAGCTGCTGCAGCGGGTTTGGAAAGTAGTGATGAAGATAACGGAGCATGTTAAGATGAAACATATGAGGATCATGTTATATGAAGAGACTTTAAAGGAGGATTTAAGAAGAGATGAACAAATCGAGAGAATGACTCAGACCACAGAGGGTTAAACTGAATCGGTTGCTAAAGGCCTGAAGGCGGCGGCAGTTGCTCCTCTTTTTAGGCTGCTCCTCTCGGCTGGTTGAAGGTGATTTTCTTGAAGAGGTAATATCCATCCACACACCACAACACCACAGCCACAAAACTCACCATCTGCACAAAAACAAAGAACCACAGTAACCACACACATCCTATGTTGACACTGATACCATCTTCTCGTCATGTAGCTTCCAAATAACTGCACCCCACATTGGGAGCATGGTTGGTCCTATATAGAAGCTTTTTGAAAAGGGTTCTATATAGCATATTTGCTGTAAAGAAAAAAGGTTCTACATAGGAGCATATACAGCACATTCTCCATCAGTCTGAAGAACGTTTCTCCATGCAAAGGGCTCTTTGAGTGTTCATGGTTCTACATAGATGGTTCCATTTTGTTATGTAGCTTTGTGTCTATGTAGCTTATCAACTGCATAACAGTTTTATAACGGTACATGACGTGTCTGTAGACAGCTGCTTCTTCTGAAATATGAAATCTGAGGGTGTTAACAGGAAGTTTGTTATTTACTGCTGCATAATCCTCTCACAACAAATGAGATCTTAATTGTGTACATATTAATTTCTGAGAGAATAATCAAACCTTAGCTTACATAATTTTATCATAATCATTTTGTCTCACTGCATTTTATCACTACCTTTAATAAACTAATTTTAATAACACTTTAATTTCCTTTTTCTGTTATTATTTTGCTTTTATGTACTTTATACTTCCTTTTAGTTATCTGTCATTATTTGTTCACTTTAAAACACTTTGTATTTTTCTTTTTGATGTTCTCTTTGCTTTTATTTATGTAATAAAATAAAAGCGTAGCATTATTTTTGTAAAGGTTCAGCCAGCCCCGCCTGCTGCCAGCAGAGGGCGACGGCGGCACGGGGCCATAACTTCAGGGAACTCCAATTCCCAGAAGTCTGTGGGCTGATTAGGCACAACGCGACACACCTGCGGACTCCTCTGCTTAAGGCCGTGGCAAACAGTGGTGTTTGTCACACCTTTGTAGAGGGGTGACTGGTACAGTACTTAGTGTCAGAAAAGAAAAGAAAAGAAAAGAAAAGAAATTGCCCCAAAACTAAAAAGAAAAGAAAAGAGGGCTGAGAAAAGAAACTGTCCCAAAGCTACTTAGAGTTAAAAAAAAAAAAAGTTCTTGAGCTACAATCGGCTCAAAGAAAATAGAAGAGGTGTTTGCTCCACCAGGAGCAAACAACTGAAACAAAGTCTGCCTTCCCTTCGTTCTTGGAGTGGAAGTGTTTTTTGTTTTCCTGTTATCTTTCGTTTTGCCTTTCTAGTTCAGCCTTTGTTTGAGCTGCTTTCAGTATCTCTTTTGCCGTAGTCGTCTGTGCTCATCAGTGTACATTGGCGGTTCGAACCTGGCTTTGGGTCACCTCATCTGCATGTTTCAAACTCACAATCCAGTGCCCCAATAAACTCATTTATCCCTTTTTCTCTCTGTTTCCATATCTGCACTTGGGTCTGCCTCCCCACTGTCCTGTAACAAGTTTGGATTGCCTTTGTGTATGAAATGTACTTTACAAATAAACTTGCCTTACTGTGTAGCTTAGCGTCTGGCTTTATCCTCCAATTAACTGCACAATAAACTGAACGCTAGCTAGTTAAGCACTAGTGACCAGATGGATCAGATGTAAGGTATGTGTACAGGTGAGTGCCAGTAATTTTTAACATTTAAACTCCCAGTGAACACAGAGTAAAATATTAAAATGTTAATACTAAACCTGAGTGTTGTATTAAACCTCCAGCAAAGATTGAAATTGAATGAAAAAATACAAGATATAAATAAATATGGTTAGACGTGGCTTAAAAACTGCTGATCAGACCTATCTGAGAACTGTGTGGGCGTGGCTAATGAGCAGTTTGATTGACGGCTATCTGTCCAACACTCCTAGCCTGCTCCACCCTTAAACAGAACTAACATCATTGTCCAGCCTTTATGTGACACTAATTGGATGAGAAAGTCATGGATCAACAGACGTGCAGATGGTCAGACGAAGCGACACTATTATGAAAGAACGGACAAACGAACAATGTTCATGCATGGACAAATGAGTGAATGGGCGACAGGCAGCCAGGTGGTCTAGCTCGCTAGCTTTTGGTTATGCTGGGTTAGTGGTGGGTGGGGCCATATACACAGCCTTGTGATTGGTCAGGGGAACGATTACGGAAGCACTACACAAGATTAGGACCACCCAGTTTCTGTTGAGAGGAGAGAAATGTGGTGAAATATATCGGTCATTTATTGGTCAGTGAAACATTTTTCAAAGGGTAAATTTAGTATATGTTTACTGTTTATCTGTAAGAACAAGATTAACACGATTAGTAAGAAAACACTTCTTCAATCTTCAATCAAACTAAGGCTTTTCTGTGTGAAGTAGCTGCTCACTTACCCCTCCAGCTAAAGTGCCCTGCACTGTGTAAGTGGATATAGCCATGATGCTAATTATAAATATGAAGGCCGCTGCAAAGACCGAGTTGAACACATCCTATAAAAAACATAAATGAATAATAATTACCTCCACCACATTGACTCCTGTAAGCAGGCAATTTGAGAAAACATTACATTTAAAGTCAGTTATATAGATCCAAACATTAGCAGACAAACAAATATACATTTTTTATACTGTTTATTTTTCACCATATTAGTATTAACTTGTCATTGCTCTTATGTAAATGAACTTGTACTGTTTTGTTATGGTTAGTGTACTTAAAAATATAAGTACAATACTTTGATACACTTCAATATATTACAACCCCATTTCCAAAACATTTGGGACGCCATGCAAAATGTAAATAAAAACAAAATTCAATGATGTGCAAATCATTCAAACCCTATATTTCATTGAAAATAGTACAAAGACAACAAATCAAATATTGAAACTAAGAATTTCTATTGTTTTTTGAAAAATATTTGCCCATTTTGAATTTGATGCCAACAACACATTCCAAAAAAGTTGGGACCGGTGCATGTTTACCGCTGTGTTTCATCACCTCTTCTTTTAACAACACTCTAAGCATTTGAGACCTGAGGAGACACTGCTGTAGTTTTGAAAGTGAAATGTTTTCCCATTTTTTGCTTACATAGGATTTAAATTTCAAAAAACCATAAAATTTCTCAGGTTCAACATTTGATTTGTTGTCTTTGAAGCATTTTCAATGAAATAGGGTTTAAATGATGTGTACATCACTGCATTTGTTTTTATTTACATTTTTTACAGCATCCCAACTTTTTTGGAAACGGGGTTGTACTTTTAGCTTGAGTATTTTAATGCTATACAATAAAAACAGTTTCTGAACCAGATAAATACTTATAACTTTCTCAGGAGGCCTAAACTTTTACACAGTTACTGTCTGTGTGTAGATGAGATGAGTGACGTACGATGAGAGGCCAGAAGAAGAAGGTGAGGGTTTTGTTGAGCTTCAGCAGGTAGAGCAAAACTAGAGCAAGGGTGACGATAAACTCCACACATGTGGCTGCGATGTATGGTGGCCTGGCAGCCACCGCAAAACACACAAACGCAGTAAAAAGAACCACCTGATGAGGAAACAGAGGTAAAGAGATTTCAGTTTCAGTTTAGACCTGTTTAGCAACAAGTTTTATATACGCTCATTTCATGCTACTGCAGTTTTATAGGCAGCCTAGAATCAGAAAACGTTGGCACAGTATGTTCAATTAAAGTTAAACAGTAAACTAAAAACATTTGTAAATGTGTAAATTATTTTTGACCTGTATTACATTGAAAACAGTACAACAGTACATTACTTGATGTTTTGCCTCATGAATTTGATTGTTTTTTTTCAAAATAAAAAATTGATTCTTGCAACATATTTAAAAAAAAGTTGTGAAAGTAAAGACTTCACCATTTTTGTAACGTTTCTGTTTCTTCTCATGACACTTAAAAGACATTTAGGGACAGAGTGATTAAGTATTTCAGGTGTAATTTAGTCCCATTCTTTCTGCAAAAAAGTTTTAAGGTTTGCACCAGTACAGAGTCTTCATTGTCACATTTTGCTTTTTAAAATGCCGCCACACATTCTCTATTGGGACTATGGGGACTGCAGGCAGGCCAGGCCAGTCCAGTCCAGCACCCGCATCCTCTTCTTCTGCAGCTGTGCCTGGGCCTGGCATTTGGATTTTTTGCTGATAACAGTCTGGATGGTCCTTTTTGTTTTTAATTTGGAGCACATGGCATCCATTTCTTCCAAAAAGGACCTGAAGTACTGATTTGTCTAACCACAGTACACGTTTCCACTGTGTGATTATCTATCCCAGATGCCTCCAAGCCCAGAGAAGTCGGCGGCGTTTCTGGACATGATTAACATAAGGCTTCCTTTTGCCACAGTAAATTTTTAACTGCCGTTTATGGATGTAACCGTGTACTGCAGTGCTTGATAAAGGTTGACAAAGTAATCCTGAGCCCATGTAGTCATGTTGCTTACAGATGAATGTCGGTTCTTGATGCAGAGCCGTCTGAGGGATCAGAGAGTTATTCAGCTCAAGCTCTGAAACTCTTCAGATTCCTTCAGTCTTTTAATTATGTTTCCCAGTGTAGAGGCTGAAATATCCAAATCCCTTCCTGTCTTTCTTTGTGGAACATTGTTTTTAAACATTTTACTAATCTTCTCACACATTTGTTGGCAAACTGGCGATCCTTGGCCCATTGGACTCGGCCTTTCCTGGATACTGCTTTTGCACCAAATCATGATTATGGTTACCAGTTGACATCACCTATTTCAAATCACAGCATTATTTCATTATTTTACCTCATTACTGCCCCTGAATTGCTGACCCAACTTTTTGGAATGTGCTGCAGACCTGAATGGCAGGAATGGATGTAGATTTACAAATGAAATGAAGTTAACTGGACAAAATATGAAACAACATCATATGTTCATACTGTCTGCAATGAAAGATGAAATAGTCAAAGTAAATTCTAGAAATCACTGCTTTATTTTATAATTAGCATTTTCCATACCTTCCCAGCTTTTTCTGACTTGGTGTTGTTCACTAATGGCATTCTACTGCAATTTTATGTGTAACAATTTCATTTTATTACAGTTTTATATATGCTAATTTTATTTTACTGCAATTTTATATATGCATTTTATTTTACTGCAGTTTTATACATGCAAATTTCATTCTACTGCAGTTTTATATGCTAACTTCATTTTATTGCAGTTTTATTTGCTAATTGCACTGTAGTGCAATTTTATATATGATCATTTCATTTTACTAGTTTTATACATGCAAATTTCATTCTACTGAAGTTTTATATGTGCTAATTGCATTGTAGTGCAATTTTATGTGATTATTTCATTTTACTACAGTTTTATACATGATAATTTCATTCTATTGCAGTTTTATATATGCTAATTTCATTCTAGTGCAACTTTATGATTTTCATTTTACTACAGTTTTATACATGCTAATTGCATTCTACTGCAGTTTAATACTAATTGCACGTTACCACAGACTATTATTTTATTTGTGTTTAATAATTCAGGATTAGTCCATCCTGCTTTTGAGGATCATTAATTACAGCTATCAAGGAAGTTTAAACTGTGAAGAAAAAGGAAGTTGGTAAACGAAAGTAATTATTGGTTTTAGTGAGAACATTTGTGGATTCAGATTTGCTGTTATTTGTTTAAACATCATCTCTTAAACAGAACTGTCCACTTTCAGGTCATACACTAGCACTGAACTACTGACCTGCATGTTTTATCTTTTCTACTTCTGCTATTTCTCCTTTATGTATTATTAGAATGCAGTCAGTGACTCGGCCGAATGCTCTGCTTTTTTCCGTAAAGCCTTTAAGATGAAAGTCACACGTCTGCTCACCATCTCTGCTATCTTCAGTAAACCTCTTTTGGACTTCAGGAAGGCCAGGTCGAGCTCCAGGGCTCTGCTGGGCTGCTTGTCTGCCATTATTATCTCAGTGTGTGAAACTCAGAATGCACTTCCTGACAGAGCGTTCCTCTCAGTTCCAGGAAACACATTTAACTGCAGAGCTTCTCTAAACACGCTTAAAAATACCAACACCCAGAGGTGACGCAGGAGTCGCGCTTTAGTGTGCAGCTCTGGTGGATTTTTAGAGTGTTTTAAATGCTGATATTTTTAATTTAACTCGAGTATTTCAGTGAATAAAGTGCACTGCTACACCAAGTTGGTTCTTCACGGGTTCTTTAGTAAAGATATAGAACCATGAATACTCAAAAAACAATTTGCATGCTTAAATGGTTCTTTGCATGGTGAAATGTCATTTACAGCACATTCTCCATCAATCTGATTAACTATTTCACTATGCAAAGAACATTTAAGCATGCAGATGGTTCTTTGAATGTTCATGGTTCTGTATCTTTACTAAAGAACCCATGAAGAACCTGCTTTTTTTAAGAGTGTCTTTAACTTTGTGCTCAGTTCCACTTCAGTCATGAATATTTTGTTTTTAATTCTCTTTTTTGAGTTTAATTTCATTCTCTTGTGTTTGGTTCTGCTTCACTGTTGATCGCTGCTATCATTTTAGAGCCCATGTGTCAAACACACCAAAGGCCCACCAGATCAGGCCCACCACACAATCTTGTCTGGCCCACTAAAGTATATTAATTTTCTGTTAATATTAACCCGTTTCACAATGCACTGCACTACAGTCCCCAGCATGCACTGCAATGCAATGTGCTCTGACTCTCCTACCCCAACAACAGTCTATGGGACAGCGGTTACACCTCAATTCTACACAATTCTATGCAATTCCACACCAGACATACCACCAAAATGCATTTCAGCTGCAGCTCAACCAATATAAATACTTAGCGTCAGCTCAGCAGCTAAGAAACTGAGCCCAAGTCTTAATAAACCTGCAGCAAAGACAGGATGTCCGGTGTCTAGTTCAAGCAAATAGGTATGTTTAGAAGACTGAGCTATTTCAAGGTCTACTACAAGTGTTGAAGCTTTTGCATATTTTGAATTAACAATGTCCAGTTCGGGTTACAGCACAACATTAATTATAAATTAAATAAAAACATTTTTTTTTCTCTGGCCTACAGATTTCATGAGATTTTTTAATACAGCATTTTTACTGGTTGAGTTTTACACCCCTGATTTAGAGCTTTAGTTTTATTTTAGACCAAAATGAAAAAAAAAAGAACAGAGTCGCACAAACTGTCTATCCAGATGCTGATAGATGTTCAGATATCTAAGCAGTGCTGATTGTCATTATCTGTCCCACTTTACCTGAACAGACATAACTGAAACATAATTCAACTGCGTTTCCCCCCAGACTGCTTATACATGTAAGGGCCCAGACCCACAAGTTCAGGGAACTTCAATTCCCAGAAGCCCTCGGGCTGATTAGGCCCAACCTGGCACACCTGTGGACTCCTCTACTTAAGGCTGTGGCAAACAGCAGCCCTTTGTTACACCTTTGTAGAGGGGTGACCGGTACGGTACGTAGCCTGGGTGGGTAGTTAAACAAAGAGAAAAGGAAAAGAAAAAGTAACAATATATTGTTGTTCCAATAATAAATGAAGCTTTTAAGAGGCAAAGAATGTACAGCATTGGATTTAATGTTGGCTATAAAACTTTTCAGAACTGAAAATGCAGAATGTAGAATTATTTTACTATTTTTTAAATACTGTTATTACTGGCATGTCTATACAGCCATATGCAAAAGTTTGAACTCAAATTACATGTTGTTGTTGTTGTTGTTGTTGTTGTTGTTGATTTAAGCGTAGATAAATGAATACATCCACTGCAGAGAACACACTCAAATAGACCATTTTCTCTCTTCTTTATAGCACAATTTCTGTTAATGTCATGAGATTAACATTTTGAAAAAAAAAATGAACACAGAAAATGTGCCGTTACTTCTGCACAGGCCACATTGAGTTTTTTTCCTCAATTTATTAGATAAACAGTATTTTGTGTTAAAATGTGCAGACATATGTTCTCTGTAGAAGATGTGAGCTTATTTACTCAAAGAAAATCAACACAAACATGCACATTTGAACAGGGGTGCCCAAACTTGCCCGAAGCCAGCTGCTCACCGTGTTCTGAATTATTTCTAGAAAGATGTCAAACTTAGTGTTGACACAAAACCACAGGAAAGCACTAAACTAACTGTGATGTAATTTTTTTGCGTGTAAATTCTCACCTTCTGTTTCTGTGAGGAGGGGTTTGCAATCCCCACCCCCACCCCATCTCCTCCCTGATCCTCAGTCCTACATCGGTCCCACTACAACTATGAGGGGGTCTGGCCTTCTAGCTACAGGCAGAAGCTGCAAAGAATCCAGCCCAAGTTCTCAGAGGTCGCCCTCTTCCACTATCAGTCGTCCCTCATACTACCACCGTCATGTTGAAGACATGATCTGAACTCACAAACTGTATATATATCAGGACATAGTGAGTGTGTGTGTGTGTGTGTGTGTGTGTGTGTGTGTGTGTGTGTGTGTGTGTATACTGTATATATTACAGACATTTAGTTAATACTGTGTATATATCAGGGGCACACAGTGTATAAACTGGACAGGTGATATAACGTATTTATTGAACTTCAGAAGATCATAATGTTTAGGTGACGCTGAGTTACTGCATTAACCTTTTATGCTCGTGGGTATATTTTAGTTTTCCATCTGAATTTACATGACCGAATCGTAAGGCAAATTATTCAGTAACTGCATGAAATTAATGTAAATTATTTTATTTATTTATTTTTTGTAAAAGCTCCCCTCAAATTAACAGAACGTGTTTTATGATCACACATATTGCTATATGCTTACAATTCACTGCTGAAAGCCAAAAATCTTAGACGCTCTTTGTATTTTTTTATAAAAATAATTTTCACAGTGCAGATCACTGAAGAGACTGAAGAGAAAGTTATGAAGTGACGAAGTGTGTTTTAGAACCACCGGTGGTCCGAAGGAGTTTAAAAGGTTAAAGCATCTGCACTTTATTCACTTTACTGTATTTGAAACCCTGCACTACCCTACAGTGCAGTGGATCACTGCAGTAGGGCCTCTGGAGGTGCAGGCCTAAATACTCTTGTGCCCTCTGCTGGATGGGTGCAGGTAATACAGGCTGAGTGAGGTCTTAGCAGATGTTAGTTCCTTCCCTGAGACAGCGTTGAGTTGTAGATGATCTCTAGACCTGGAAATATCCCACATTCCCATATCAGTGCATCTAAACAAAGTATATTTGCAAAGTATGTGTTTGAGAATGTGTGAGGGCGTCTCAGAGCAGGGATCCTGTTTCTTGAAGCTGTGTTTAAGCAACTGAGAAGGGGCATAATAAAAAATGGCATTATTTATTTGGCATTTTCCATAAGTAGAGTTTGGGGAAATATGATTTTCCCACCTCAGACTGTCAAATCAGACACTATATGATCTGTTTTCACCATAAATGGCTGGGCAACAGAGTTGAACACAGATCATGTTCCCCATTAAGCTGATACCAATGCAGTATACACTGATCAGGCATAACATTATGACCGCCTCCTTGTTTCTTCACTCATTGTCCATTTTATCAGCTCCACTGACCGTATAGTTTCACTTTGTAGTTCTACAATTACAGACTGTAGTCCATCTGTTTCTCTGCATACTTTGTTAGCCCCCTTTTACCCTGTTCTTCAGTGGTCAGGACCCCCATGGACCCTCACAGAGCGGGTACTATTTGGGTGGTGGGTCATTCTCAGCACTGCAGTAACACTGATGTGGTGGTGGTGGTGTGTTAGTGTGTGTTGTGCACAGTTTGTGTTGGTCATCCTCTAGTCCTTCATCAGTGGTCACACGACGCTGCCCGCAGGATGCTGTTGGCTGGATATTTTTGGTTGGTGGACTATTCTCAGTCCAGCAGTGACACTGAGGTGTTTAAAAACTCCAGCAGCACTGCTGTGTCTGATCCACTCAGACCAGCGCAACACACACTAACACACCACCACCATGTCAGTGTTACTGCAGTGCTGAGAATGATCCACCACCCAAATAGTACCTGCTCTGTGAGGGTCCATGGGGGTCCTGACCACTGAAGAACAGGGAAAAAAGGGGCCAACAAAGTATCAGAGAAACAGATGGACTACAGTCTGTAACTGTAGAACTACAAAGTGCACCTATTTAGTAAGTGAAGCTGATAAAATGGACAGTGAGCGTAGAAACAAGGTGGTCATAATGTGATGCCTGATTGGTGTACGTTCCCAAATACAAAAGATCAATATGGTTATTTACAAATTCTTTCATTAGATATGACTTTCCTAATATATTTGTTTGTACATTTATATTTAAGGATAACAGTTTCCCCAATAAAAGACCACTCCCTGTGTCCTCCAGAGAACTTGTAGTAGAGAGTAGAATCAGATCTAGTTTATGAGGAGTCTGGTCTCTTCCTGTTTCCCCTGTTATATCAAAAACAGGACTGCTAAACAGCAGAGGGCGCCCGTGAGCAAGTCCTCAATGAATGGGGGTGAATGGAGCTAAACGGCTAAAAACGAGAAGTTAATAATTTCTAATCACTCGCCCAGAACTTTCCTTTAATTTTAGACAGTAGAAGAATGTATTTCACTAAAAAAGCAAGTAAAACTCACCTGTATGTTTCCTTTTTTCTACAGCAACATCACTGCTGTCTGAACAAAACCTTGTATCTCCAAAATGACAACTTTAAAGGAGAACGACAAACATACTTTACTTTTAATGTAAGTCAATGGAACCAGACTTTTTTCCAAGTCATTTTGGCAACAGACTTTTTCAAATTACGCCAAAAACTGAAAAGCGACAAAGCGTTTTAGTTTGGTCTTTAATGCTCCCAACACATTATGGCATATTTATAGTATAATTATGGTCGAGCATAAATATTTATGCAAATATTACAATCGACTGTTCTTGTGTTTTTGGTTCAGGTTCAGAACCTCAAAGCAAAAACGACAAAATATGATTGTAAATAGATGTTTACAGTATGTCAGTTCATAGCTTCCTATCATGTGTGATGGT